GCAACAAAATTTCCTGTCATCCTGTTTGTTGACGGACATAAAACACACGTAACACTAAGTGTCAGTGAACTTTGTACAGAAATAAAAATCATACTTATCGCTCTTTATCCAAATGCCACAAGAATTTTGCAGCCCGCGGGTGTATGCGCTTTTAAACCGCTAAAAAATGGTTGGAAAAAAAGTGTGATGGAGTGGAGAAGAAACAATCTATCTCAAGCTCTAACAAAATTGGAATTCGCACCGAATTTAGAAAAAGCCATTAATAGTTCTATTCATCCGGAAATATTGCAAAATGGTTTTAGTGCTGCTGGACTTTTCCCGTGGAATCCTGATAGTATAAACTTTGACAAATGTCTTGGTAAACGAGTAAAAAGCATAAGCAATAATAAAGATGTAGTGTTACAAAAAATCGATTCCTCGATATGATTAAAGAATGTAAGTATGAAAAAGACAGAATTTTGAACCAAGTTTTTGATTTTTTTTGAAGTTTCACCATCCCTTCTTAAGTATACTAGATCTGAGACTCCCAATAACAAAACTACTGCATGCATATCAAAAGGTGTTACATCCATTGAATCTGAAGACAACTTTTATGAGGAACCAAATACCAATTTCGATATTGCTAATCTTCCTGTAATTTTATGTGATTCTGTGGAAGATTGGAATTATTCACAGGAAAGGCTATCTTGCTTTGAAGTTCCACATGAAGTAGAAATTCATACTCCACTTGTAATTTCAAATACATTTTTACAACTTACCCCTAATAGAAAAGAAGTCTCACATATTAACAATGAAGATTTATTAGAAAATATCGATGTTTTACTGATTGCTCAGTACAAAATATTACTACACTTGCAAATTCTCCACCAAAGATCATGCCAACTAAGTGACAAAATAATAAGATCAATGAAAAAAATTAATCTAAAAAACACTTTAGTTTTAGCAAAAATTCCGGTCAGGAAAGGGTTGAGAAACACAGAACGAGTTTCGTTTGTATTGACATCTGAGGAATGGCAAAAAAAAGAGAAGTCAAAGGCTGATGAGAAACAAATAAAGGTAGATGAAGTAAAAAAAAGAAAAGGAGAGAGAATATTAAAAAAAAGAACAAACTATGAAAACTAAAAACTTTTTAACCAAAAAAATGACAAAAACCAAAAAGAAAAGAGAAGCCAAAGTGATTGTGACATATGACGACATTTTTACACAAAATAAAATTTCAGATAGATTAGAAACTTTTAATAATACAGAAGCAAATAGTGAAGAACCAAAGGCAATAATGATGGATATCAATCATGAGCAACATATATTTTCTACAGAATATAAGGCCGAAGAGATTGCAAAAGTAAAAACAAATTTTGATGATAACAAAAGAACGAGTGCCTCTAACAAACTGTTACAAACACCTATGAAGACTGTGTGTACCAATGTAAGACTGAATATAGTTTCTAAGGACACTGGTAATAAGATTCGTGACCAAGATACTTTGTGTTCAAAAGAACGATTTGCAAAAGAATTTAATGTTAAACCAAAATTAGATAAGAAAACACTGCAGGATAAAGATATCGAAAATTTACTTTAAGAAAATTCTCAGTAGGTTCTGACTTGTTAAAGTTATAAGAGAAGTTATGATCTCAGTTTAATAAATACGTAAATAACCATCGTAAAACATACATTTATATCGTAAACATTATTGTTAAAACGACTTTAAATGAAACTTGTACCTTATGTTGATTAGTTGATACTTTTATAGTGATAAAGAAGAGAAGTTTTTGACCTTTTTTTGATGCAACTGTTTTTTTTTTTGTGATTTCTTAAGTACTGATTATTGCAATGTTGATTAATTGATACCTTTATAGTGATTAACGGGAGAAAATGTTATTTTTGGTGTAACTGTTTATTTTTTAAGAATTCTATTACATATTTTTAAACTACAGAGTACTTTTTATTTACTATTTTCCCAATAAATTAGTTAAAATTAGCGATCAACAGACATGAGAACCAGGGTGTCAATATTTAGACAGTTCAGTGTCATTAATAGGAAAATGTATGTCAATAATAGGAAGTAGAGGTAACTTCAGATAAACGAACTTTTTTCATAAATAGTAATTATAATTTGCACAATATCGCCAATTTTTAAAAGAATGATAATGACAGAATATTAATATCTACAAATAAATTACAAAAATTGTTTATTTAACTATTTTTTGTTAAACGTTTTGTGACGAACGTCTTAAAGTGTCCATAATTGGGTAGTTTACCCTATATACATTACTTACTACTTACAAGGCTTTTCGATTTTCGCCATCCACCGTATGAATCGTAGTACATTGTGCTACTGCTTCGTGTGTCTAGTGGTTGTAGTAGTGCGACTGCTGATCATGAGGTCCTGGGTTCGAATCTCGGGTCGATCCAAAAAATTAATTATTGAGTTTTTCCGTCAAGAAACTCTCAGTAGCTGCCCGGAGCCAGGATGTTGTCGGTGTCTCACCCCCGTGCCTCGGAAAGCACGTAAAGCCACGTGATCCTGCGCCTGATCTCTCTCCGGTCGTGGCGGTTTACCGTCCCATCTGGTTATGAGAGTGACGGAATAGAGAGTGCACCTGTGCAGGCCGCCGTGGTGGAAATTCGGTCTGGAGGACGTTATTACTATAATCACTATTCCGCCTGACAAGCGTGGTATTTTAACATGCGAGAGGTCCAAAACCAGCAGTGATCTGTTTCAGGGTATTTAAAGTACTTACTTTGTCGAACTTTAACACGATACATGTTCGAGATAATAATTCCTTTTTTTTTTTAAATATTGACTTGACAAATTATAATAAGCTATTTATTTACTGTATTTTTGTAGTATTATGTTTTATATATATATATATATATATATATATATATATATATATATATATATATATATATATTAAGTTTTCTAAACAATTTTTTTTGCTCTTAATTTACTTTTTTGATAGACATCGTTTTATTTCCCTCTCACACCATATCTAATTAGGAACCCATAGTCCGGCTATCACGTGTTCCTCAAAGTTAGATTCGCGGGCAATTCACTTACAAATGTATTACACCCCTGACTTACTACTGCCGAGTTTATTATCCGTTAAATTGTGATAGGGAGAATGTAGTTGGAATTCAATTTAAATAGAATATGCAATTAGCTTAGTATAAAGATATTTTACACAATATATATATATATATATATATATATATATATATATATATATATATATATATATATATATATATATATAGGCAATTGTAAATTTTGCGTGTCCGTACATTTATTTTAAAGTGGTAGAGACACGTTACAAATTGTATATATTATGGTTCCAGCATGAGTTGGTCGGCTCGTTGGTAGGATCAAGCTCTCACAGAATACCAGCGTAAAATAGTAGCTTAATGCTACTGTGCTGTGCTTTTGTATGGTGAGTGTAGAGAACCGAAGACTAGACTAAGATGGAAACCGGGGCATTCCATATTAGTTTTCAGGGGTGACAACGCATCTGCGTTTTGATTCCTAACTGAAGATAAATGTAGGTGTAGATAAATGTTTTATTCGTCATGGCAAACAAGCGACACGAAACGTCTTTTAAAAAGAGAATGAAACAAAATCGATTAACATAATGCTGTTTTTTATTTTATATAGGATAAAAGTGACAAACGAGCACAAAGTCCACATGATGGTAACTGCGTGCTGTGGCCCACCTCATAGTCATCTACATCTATCCTCAATTACGAATTAAAATGCAGATGCGTTGTCACCCGTGAGGACTTAGATAGAATGCCTATTACTTCGAATTCTTTTATATTCCAATAAAGTCGAAATACAGAAAAAAGTGATGCCAATGACAAAAACTACTATTCCTATTGAGAATCCAATGCAGTTTACAGAAAGGACAGTACAAACATCGGGTAGCACTGGTTCATTGCCTGCTGGACATGTTGCGAGACAGTCAACGCAGCTGCAAGGAATGTCGTCTCCAAATGTTTCATAACATGGGAGAGCACGAGCGTTCATTGAATCTTCCTCTGTTGGCCATCTTAAAAAGTTTACTTGTATAGGAGCTAAAGGATTTGTTGCAGTATCACCTGTAAATCCAAACCAAGCATCAGCATCGCAGACGGCGGCATTCCCACACATGATATTTATAGTGACTATCATGTGTGGGAATGCTGAATAATATCCAGGAAAAAGGGTCTTCGGTTCTATATACTCACCATACGAAACACAACAGCGTTGATCTGCTATTTTACGCTGGTATCCTGTAAGAGCGTGGTCCTTTCTCGGTTGAGCCGACCTATTCGTGCTACAACTATGCTACTTATACAGCTGTAGCATGGTTCTATGACGTATATACGGTTTGTGGCGAATGCCTTTTAAGTCACAAATTTTTAACAAGTGTGATAGCTAAGAGTTCAACAATTTTTTTTATTAGTAGTTTTAAATCGTTTAATTACCATCACCAGTTATTTTATTTACTTATCTGCATTAATAACAAGCGAACATAAAAATATTTCGTTTGCTGTACATTATTAGCTCATGTTATATGTATAAGAACGTAGGATTACGGTGCCGATAAAAGTGGAGAGGGAACGGTCTCAATCCCTAGGGAGGCAGACGACTTGTCGGAACACCTGCGTTTCGTAGTAATTTTATTTTATAGGTATCATTATATTGCACATATTTTAATGATTCTATACCAAAAAGTAATAACGCAATCCATGGAACACTCTTTTATCAAACACCTGCGTTAATTTATGATAAGTTATCAAATTGACTATACATTAGTTTTGATCGATTCGAAGATTTGAAAATGGAACCATTAGTAACAGTACTGCTCGAGGCATAAAGTTGTTCTATACCACAATGAAAGATTTTAACAATCGAAGCGAGTAATATTTAATACGAAATATTCTCAATGCGAAAAATGAAGACATTTATAACTTTGCTAGCTATATTTAGCTGTTTGTGCAGTGTATCGGCAAAATGTGTTATGCGAGGCGAGTGTATCGAAATAAATGGTTTCCCAAAACCCTGCTACTTCCCCGAAGAGGCTCCACAAATTCTTTTGAATTTGACACAAGAAGAGAGAAATGAAATTTTTGACATTCTTGATTCAAGATGTCCATTTTTGATATACGATGAATACGGAATAAAGAAGCCTGATGATCAAATTTTGACGTGTTGTGACGGCGTACAAATAAGAAAAATGCAAGAAAGTCTTATGTTAGCTGATAGTGTTCTAGGAAGGTGTACAACATGCTTAAGGAATTTTGTGAGACAAATCTGCGAAATGAATTGTTCACCAGAACAGTCACGCTTTGTCGATGTTACAGTGGTAAACACGACAGAAGGACTTTCGTATGTAAACGAAATTGATTACAGAGTATATGAAGACTTTATGTTAGATGCCCATGCCTCCTGCTCTGGTGTAATTGTTCCACAAACCGGATTGCCAGCTATAAATATCATGTGTGGGAATGCCGCCGTCTGCGATGCTGATGCTTGGTTTGGATTTACAGGTGATACTGCAACAAATCCTTTAGCTCCTATACAAGTAAACTTTTTAAGATGGCCAACAGAGGAAGATTCAATGAACGCTCGTGCTCTCCCATGTTATGAAACATTTGGAGACGACATTCCTTGCAGCTGCGTTGACTGCCTCGCAACATGTCCAGCAGGCAATGAACCAGTGCTACCCGATGTTTGTACTGTCCTTTCTGTAAACTGCATTGGATTCTCAATAGGAATAGTAGTTTTTGTCATTGGCATCACTTTTTTCTGTATTTTGACTTTATTGGAATATAAAAGAATTCGAAGTAATCAAACTGAAAATAAAAGTAGTAAGAATAAAACAGCAGACAATTTCTTAATAATTTTCGTCCAAGATTTATTTGCTGCGATAGGAGTATTTTCGGCCAATAATCCTGTTCTTATTATTATGGTTACTTCATGGATAGCTTTCGCTATGTTATTTGGAGTCGTAAATCTAAATCTAACTGCGAAACCCCTTGAACTTTGGTCCGCACCGGACTCTCGAAGCCGTGCTGAACTAAACTATTTCAATTCAAGATTTGGACCATTTTATCGCGCTAGTCAAGTATTCTTGAAAATAACCGGCTTGGAATCTTTTGAAGTAGATAATGTGACATATGGTCCAGCCTTTAGATTTGAAGCTCTTAAAGAATTAGTTGCACTTGAAGACGCAATTATAAATATTGGCAGAGATACTGGTGGTGTTGTTTTAGAAGATGTTTGTTATGCACCTCTTCGTTCTAGAGGCGGTGAAAAAAAACTTGAGCAGTGCGTAGCCATGTCAGCGTCTACCTATTTCGGCAGTGACCGCAACAACATAAATAACAATACTTACTTGAATACCATTCAAAATTGTTTGAATAACTATCTGAACTTTGACTGTAGAGCAGAGTGGGGTGGAGGCGCACAGCCAAATCTAGCATTTGGTGGTTTTGAAGGTGATAATTTTTTAAGAGCAAATACACTAGTTATTAACTATCCAATAAATAATTATCTTTCGGAGGAAGATCTAAAACCAGTGTTAGAATGGGAGCAGAAGTTTATTGATTTATTGCATGATTACGAAGCCAACTGGAAGGCCGATTTTGTTGAAGTAGCTTTCGGTACAGAGAGATCTATAGAGGACGAAATTGAACGAGTTTCTCGAGCAGAAATTTTACCAATTGCTGTGAGTTATATACTTATGTTTATATACGTTATAGTTGCTTTAGGTAACGTTAGATACTGTAGAACTTGGTTGATTGACAGCAAAATTACAGTAGCAATAGCTTGTATAATAGTGGTATTAGCTTCTATATTTTGTGCCATGGGTGTGATGGGTTACGCAAATATTACAGCAACACTGCTGGCAATTAACGTTATACCCTTCTTTATTTTATCTGTTGGAATAGATAATGTTTTCTTAATGGTCAATACACTACAAGATATACAAACAAATTTGAAAGAGTATGATGATTATAGTGAAAATTTAAGTTTTTCAAAAAAGAGATCATTCATTTTTTCGAAAATGATGAAAACTATTGGTCCTTCCATGTTTGTTACGTCGATAACACAAATAACTTGCTTTTCAATAGGTAGTCTTGCCAATTTTCCTGCAGTAGTAACGTTTGCTGTGTTTGCTTCTTTATCTCTAGTATTCTTATTTATTTTCCAAATTACTACCGTGGTGGCGATATTATCAATCGATTACAAAAGGGCAAGTCAGAATAGATTTGATCTATTTTATTGCGTTCAAAAGAAAATACTTCTTGATAATGATCCTTTAAACGCTGATACACCGTATCGTAGTGTAACCGCCAGGCTTATGGAGCCATACTCTAAGTTTATATTGGATTGGCGAGTAAAAATTGTGGTTGCAATTATTTTTGTAACAATACTTTCCATAAGTATTATTTTAATACCGCAAATAGAAGTAGGATTAGATCAAGAATTATCCTTACCTCCGGATTCTTACGTATACAGGTACTTACAGGCAGTGAATGAACTTTTGGGTCTCGGACCACCAGTGTATTTCGTTTTAAAAAGTGGTTTAAATTTTACAGATACAAATCACCAAAATGTTATATGTGGAGGTCAGTTATGCTACGACGATTCTCTCGTAACTCAAATCTTTTTAGCGTCACGTTATAGTAATGTCACATATTTAGCGGCAAGTTCTAATTCGTGGTTGGATGATTTCTTTGATTGGACAGGTTTGCCTGGGTCTTGTTGCAAGTATAACTCAACAGATGGTGGCTTTTGTCAGAGTACAGATACTTCTTCAGAATGTGAGTTTTGTACTATCGGAAGAAACGATTTCGCTAATGGTCTACGGCCAAATTCGGAGGCCTTTGAACGGTATCTCCCATTCTTCCTACAGGATGCACCAACGGATTCATGCAATAAAGCAGGTCTCGCTAGTTATTTCAGTAGCGTGAATTATTTGTTAGATTCAGAAGGCCGTGCTACTGTTTATGATAGTAGTTTTATGGCTTATCATGCCGCTTTAGGTACTTCTAAAGATTATATATCTGCTATTAAATACGGCTACGAAATATCTGAGAACATAAACGCAGCTATTAAGAAACACACGGGCTTGGACGTAGAAGTGTTTCCCTACTCTGTGTTTTACGTATATTACGAACAATATTTGTACATGTGGGAAGACACGTTCACTTCGTTGGCTTACTGTTTAATAGGTGCCTTAATTATAAATTTACTGGCAACAGGTCTTAATGTTCTAACTACGGGCACCGTTATGTTCACGTCGATAATGGTGGTTGTAAATATGATGGGTGTTATGTACATTTGGGATATTCCTCTTAATGCCATATCGTGTGTTAATTTAATAGTATCCATCGGTATAGCTGTTGAGTTTTGCAGTCATATCGCTTACGCATTCGCAACCAGTAAATGCCCTTCAAACGAAAGAGTTGCTTATGCGATTAAGAAAGTAGGCGCTACAATTATTACCGGAATAACGTTAACTAACATTCCTATTATAGTTTTAGCTTTTTCATATACAGAAATTATTGAAGTGTTCTTCTTCAGAATGCTTTTTAGTTTAGTGATATTAGGATTCTTGCATGGAATGGTGTTCTATCCAGTGTTTTTAAGTTATCTCAATGACGTTATAAATAAATAACTTTATATTATTTTATACAATTTCAGGAATAAGCTCTGTGAAACCATAACTTGTATGAATATAATCTATTTACATTTAAAAGTTGTAAATACAGTTAACAAGATATACCGGAGAAAATGTAATAATTTCACAAATTTATAAACAACCTGTTTTTTAGGTTTTGTTATAATTCGTACTTGCGATTATTGGTACCTGGTTTATATTCCATGATCGTTGGCTATAGGAATAATATATGTATTTTTTCACTGTAGTTTTTAGTTAATTTACTGTATTATAATATTTATAAATAAACAATTACCTGCAGTGAACCAAGTACATCATGCAGTGTATGGTTTTAGTTTACCTACTTGTTTTATTCTGATATATTATATTTTTATGTATTTTATATAACAGCTATGTATACAGTTATGATTCCTGAATAGTTTTGAAATTATTTCCTAAATTTAATATGTAAAAAGATTTACTTGTAAATATAGACATTGTAAGAGTTGAATAACTTTATTTTCATTTAAACTAAAACATAAAATTCACAAAAGGAAGACATTGATTCAATGATGGCTAAAAATATTTACAGATATATATTATCAAACTAATATACACAACCCATTTACACTTAACATATTTTTACATAAATGTGTTACATTTATGTAAATATCCAAAACTATGTCTAATCGAAACATTTAAAACTCTGAAAGTTTGTTTGTTTGTTTACACAAATAAAATAAAACTAAAAATATTCAACGTATTTATTATGTTTGGTTGGGCTAAAACCAATAGGTTTGTGTGTGTGTGTGTACAGAAATCAAGACCTCTAAAGACGTTACTTACTAGATTTTAGATCATAGAGCCACGCTGCAGTTTATTATAAGAGCATATTATGGTTGTAGCACGAATGGGCCGACTCGAGCTGATAAGGATCACTTTCCCACAAAACACCAACGTGTAATAACAGCATAAAGCTGTTATGTTTCATATGATGAGTGTAGAGAACTGGAGACCTTTTTACTGGTAACAAGGCATCCTATCTTAGTACTCCGGGATGACAACGCAGGATTTTGATTTTTAATCAAGGATAGATATATAGTGTCTATGGGCCACATAGTAAGTGGATGCTTTTACTATGAGAGGGACTGTATAGTCCTTTGTCACCTTTAGTCTAAAAAGAAAACTAGTAGTGACATAAAAAAAGAAAAATAGTAGTGACATAAAAAAAAGAAAAATAGTAGTGACATAAAAAAAAAAGAAAAATAGTAGTGACATAAAAAAAATAAAAATAGTAGTGAAATAAAAAAATAAAAATAGTAGTGACATAAAAAAAGAAAAATAGTAGTGACATAAAAAAAAGAAAAATAGTAGTGACATAAAAAAAGAAAAATAGTAGTGACATAAAAAAAAGAAAAATAGTAGTGACATAAAAAAAAGAAAAATAGTTGTGACATAAAAAAAAAGAAAAATAGTAGTGACATAAAAAAAAGAAAAATAGTAGTGACATAAAAAAAGAAAAAATAGTAGTGACATAAAAAAAAGAAAAATAGTAGTGACATAAAAATGTGTGAGACGTGAGAATAACGACGGAGACGACGCACAAAAACTATGACGAGATAGCATCGTACGTATCTCTGCCAATATGAGATCACTAAAGCGCATCGATCGATCCAGGACCGCAATATCTTATAAATGTACACATAATATTGACGTTATACTACTTGGTGAATCCTTTTGCATATTCACAGTTGAATTAGAAATATAGTACGTGAGGGTAATATGGTGATACGGTTTTCATGGTCACTTTTTTTTTTTCTTAAAACTCAAAAACTACAGCCTATTTTGCATTGATGGTTCTATGATACGATAGCTCTTCATCAGTCAATCAAATAATAAAAGGTCAATAGGGCGTTGCGATATCGACGCCATTTTGACAGTTGACATTACAGTATAAATTTTAGTCGAATTTAGTATTGTTTAGTGTACTTAGTTAGATTTTTAAGTTGATTTTTCGTAATGTTCCTTATTATTGCCAAAGCTTGTATACTATTTTTTTCTTAATGTATTAATTATAGTATACGACTTCATGTTTTGTCTACGTCCTCCTCCTAGTTTTGGTTGTATAAGGCGGGAAAGATTAAGGTGATCTAATATTACACTCACGTACCTTATTAAATATTAAATTTTGACTATAAGTTTTACACGGAGACGAATAATGATAACTTTAAAGCATTATCTAGATTACAACCTACTATCGTCGACACTTAGATATAACTTATCATTACGTTCTAAATTGAGTAATAACATTAGTAATTACATTTAAAATTATTACACATAACATTTATGTGTTCAGTTTCATGCATTTACATTTAGCGCAATTTTATGCTGCGACACAGGGTTTAGGCGTATTTTCTTTAATTATTTGTTAAATTTTTATTTTATTAGTTAAATTTATGATGTTAGCTCCTAAACTTCGTTTTATTTATCTTTTCGCCTTGTATTACATTACTTTTTTATTTATTACTTTTATATTTTGTGCTGCAGGCTTAAACTGGAATAAACACATTTCTTTATTGTTTATTTTTTTCTTTATTCAAAATTCTAAGTACTTTATGCCATATGACATATGTTTCTTATTATATTAATAAAATAAGCTTAATAATGTTTTTCTCTTTGGCAAAAACTAAACATCGCCCCAATTCAATTCAATTAATTTTATTAAAATATAGGCAATTAAAAAGTAGCAAATAAATTTAACTATAATAACCTACTCTTAAAGATAATGTTTTTACAAAAATGTGTTTAAATTAATTAAAATTAATTATGCATCTAAAACATGATTTAAATACGCTATGTAACATATTGCAAGCCTTAAAATTTCAATTTTTGATAACTTTTTATCTGGTGGCAAGGTTGGTAGGAGACGTCTAAGTGACGCAAATGCAGCGTTGAACGCCTCTACTCGTATTCTTTCTCTGGTTGCATGTGCTGTTCTGTACTTTAGCGTGGCGCGACGTCGTCTCCTCCGCTCCTCTCGAGAAAGCCCAGCACAAGGAGATCCCGCTCCGCTGGAGAGATAAGCTTCTTCTGATAAAGCGCATGGTTCTAATGTTCGGTCTCTAATTAAAAAAAATCTCAAATGTATTATTGTAAACCATACTGTTCCTTATTTAAAAAACATTGGTAATATTATTATTAACAATAATAATATATCACAAATATATAACTTGAAATATCCTAATAAACAAAAATAATAATTTGACGGCTCGGTTTGGCTGCTGCGCTGCCGGCCGCAGTTGTGAAGCGTGAAGTGGAAGCATGTGATTGTGAACCTTTTCAACGGTTTTTTTATCGGATGGGATGACATACGAGCACACAGTCCATACTAATAATAACATACTACTAATATAACTGAAGCATGGCTCTACCACGTAAATTATAAGTGTACGGGTAACTTTTTTATTAAAAAGTACATTGAGAGTGTTTGTCATTTAAATTTCTATAGTAATTTCACAGTACGTGAGCAACACGGGTTTGATCCCCGCCGGCACCAATGAAAATGTTAATTTCAATTTTAAGTGTCGATTTAGCATGTACTCCGCGGTAAAGAAAAACATCGTGAGTAAAACCTGTATGTTTGAGAAATAAGATAAAAAATATTTCGACTACTTGTGAAATTTACCATCTCGCATTGGGGCAGCGCGGTGGACATTTCCCTAACCTAAAACCCCCTCAGAAATGAGAAGAGGTCTGTGCCCAGCAGTGGGACGTATATAGGATGTAACTTTTCTAACTTTTTCATGTTGTCATCATAATTTGCACCCTTAAAGTTGATAACGTAAACATTACAACATTTGCTGCGTCGTCCCATTGGACAATTCCAACAAATCAGATTGATTGTAATCGCAAATTTTTCAAAACACAGAAGAGCGACCATGAGTAGCGTCAAATTCGATCGTTATTCTGCTAAAAATAAGAAAACAGTTTCCACAGACGTTGAAATATTATTTAATTACGTTGAACTTATCATTATTATTTGTGCATGCTAATAAAGTTTTAAAGTGCGCATGGCAGAAGTTAGTACTTTCGCATCTGTATTTTTATGTTGTCCTTTTTTGTCCATTAGAAATAATTTGAGAAATTATAAGAAATTAATAAAACAAAAATATTATAATTGCTATTCATCCATTTCCGTCATATACAGTGGATTTCGGTTATAACGACGATGAAGGGACCACTTTATTTTCGTTGTTATATCCGGGAGTTACAGACAAAGGTAAACGTACACATGTATATAGTTTATATTCATTTATTATTGAAAATAGTTGTACACATAGTTATTCACTGGTATATTTCAAAATGCTACTCAGCTGACCATCGGTGTGGATGTAAACAAAATATAAGAAATGTTTGTGAAAAAAAGAAATCTTTGTGTCTTTGGCGGCCGACTCCAGTCGCAATATCTGCATAGTATTTCTAGGAATTTGTTACAAATGATTCATTAAAAACAGTCGCTACACCCGAACTCGGCGTTACATCCAAAGTCGCTATAGCCACATGAATTTTGTAGTAAAGTATGCTTTAAATTTAAGGGACTTAGATTTAACGTCTCTATAGTTAGATAAATGGTCGCTACAATCAAGGTAGTAATAAATGAAATCCACTGTACTAAAATATAATACAAAATAGGAAAGTGCTTATTGGGTAAGGCTCAAATTTTTTGGCCAGTCGCACTATGGATATTACAACGAAATTTCTCACAAAGAAAAAAACGTCGTACAACGGAATTTATAAAGTGTAGTGCACAAGGATTGTAAAATAAAAAAAAATTTTTAAAAAAGAGAGGCAAAATAAAAAAATAAAAAAAAAAATTTTTTGTACATTAACTGTTTGTTTTATTTTTATTTATAAATCAATATTAATAATTAAGTATACTTACGTCACTACTAACGGGTAATGGCTACCTAGAATATACCCTCCGAAATAGTGAGGGAGATCATACATAGTCTTAGCCCAATACGATTGCATAGTGCGAGATGGCGGACCTGATCCTGTGATCCGGGCATACGCTGGACGTAAGTACTTAATTACCTACATGATTATTGGGGTATATTACTAAATAAAACTAATATAATATGCAAAAATCAAAAATATTTATTAAAAAAAAAAACAGTCTAGATGAGACGATACACTAACAGTATCGAAAAATTTTATATATTGAGAGTTGAATAATACTCTTGAAACTATTGAAACGTTGGTAACAATGTCAAAATCTTTGTTTTTCGGTAATTTTACGAATTTTATATTACAATCTTGTTCATTAATCGTCTTTAGAAAATGAACTTCATTAAAAGTGTCATCATCTTTGATTTCAATCTTATCAATAAAGCCTACGTAAAACTTCCAGCTCTTTTTTTTGGTAGTATCTTACTAATATACTGTCACTTATTTTATATAGTTCAGGCACACTGTGTCTTTATCTTTTGAACTACATGAATCCGGATTAGCATGTATAGAGATATTTTCTTTCTCATTTTGAGAACACAAATTAAAATTGGTACAGTCTATTGGGGTAAGCGTTAGTGGCCCGTAATTACTTAAGTTAAAATAACCTTGATCTTCAGGTGTAAATCGTACCTCAGATAAAACTTTCACTTTATTGTTTCGGTTTGTCTCGCTCACTATTTCTGTCTCTATTTCTCCTATAGTTATCTCGTCATCAAAAATTGTGTAATCATCGTCAGTATCGGCGTATTGAATCTCATTAGTATCAGTATCTTCAGAAGTTGTGTCTGATTCCTTATTTATCTTTCTAACTCTTTTACTTGATTTCATCTCCTTATATATCTTATTTTTTTTAGTTCTGGAGTCTAGTTTCTTACAGGAAACTTTCATTGGTTTTTGTTCAAAATTATGAGCTTTAGGCGAAAAACTATCACAGGCTCCTCTTGCGCAAAAACAACTCAATGGTCTGTTGATAACACGTTTATCGCCTGTAGCAATGATCTGATGGATTTTCATAGTGTTAGGAACTAGTTGTATATTTTGAGGATTTTCTACGTTTTTAATACTGCCTTCAGTAACGTAAAATAATTTAATGGTTGTATCAGTTTTAGACAAAACTTCAAATGCAGATTTAGCATCAACTATTTCCTCACCATAAGAGACTCTACTATCTAAAATTCTTTTGATGGCTCCGCCCACACCATCTGCTGCGCCTTTTCCGTGGGAAGCCTCAAAAAACGACCACGTCGCCTGAACAAATCCAGCTTCCTTAGTTTTTTCACCAAACAGCCAAAAATTTTTTTCTGGCGGGACTGTGTTGTAGGTCCGTCCAAATAAAAATGCACACAGTTAATAGCGGGGTAATTTTCTTAAAAAAAATATTACAGGTTCTAAATGGCCCCATATAGCCTGAGGGTCGTGCTTAAATGACAGGGAAATAGTACAAAAAGATATAGATTTTTCTTTTTTTACATACGCAACTCCAGTATGCAAAGTAATTTGTTGCCTTGAGCCTGCAAAATGCATAGACTGCACTTCTTCAGCCAACTTACACGAGTAATTTTCTGAAAAATCGCAGTGTATGATAATTTCATTGTCCATTATATTTTCTATGGCTTCTTTGTATTGCTTGTGCTGGTGATAAATATTAAAATGATGACATTTAAATTTCTCAAGATCTTTTTGAATCATATCGGCAAGTGTATTTAAAGTACCTATTTTTTCTTCTTGTACAGTTTTCTTTGTTGTTTTGTGTGTATTGGATTTTCCATACTCATAATTTTTAGTGGTCTATTCAAGCCAAGATAATTCTTGAGTATCTGCTGCATAAGCAAAGCTAAGTTTTTTTCCATAACACACTGTACATTCTGAATACATACAGCTTTTTGATTTAACATCGCAAACTATTTCAGAAACCAAGTCATTTGGATCAGCAGACGATATTAAGCCTAACTTCTTGAGAGTTCGAGCTTTTAAAGCTAAATTAGCATGCTTGATACAAGCACACGTATTGTGATTACTTACATGCGGAGATACTACGTAAAACGGACGATAGCGCTTGAATGAAGCAAAACACAAAACTCCACCTTCACTTCTGTATATCTTATACAAGTTCGATAAAGTATTTAACAAAAATCGTTTCTGTTTTTTAATCTTATGACGAGTGACACATTCTTTTTTACCAGCTGTCATACGACTAATGTCGTCTCTTTCAAAGAATTTTGTAAGTTCTTTAGCTGTCCTGATTTTTTTCTGCTTAATAGAATAATAATGGCGTATACCTCTCTTCAGTCCCAAACATTTTCTTATTTTAAATTGCATATTATATTTCTTGACTGACTCACTGACAAGAAGTTTCTTTAAAATGTTTTTTTCTTCGTTTGATTTACTGTCATTATAAGTTTCTTTTAAAGACTCTTCCAGAACACGAGTTTCTAATAATTTCTTCCCTATCTGAAAGCATGAAATAAAATAAGTTTAGATGTAAAAGGATGTTAAAACTTAATAATTTTATTTTTTTTTTTAATTATTAAGAATATTAACAATGCTATAAACATTACTAATATTCTCCTTAACCACTCGTGGTAAGCTTAAATTGCTTGTGTTACGAGTGGTTCACGCCAGTAGTCGAATGGCGGATTCGAACCCACGACCTTTTGAGTTCGCGGTCCGGGCCTTGCTATTAGGCTACTGTCGCTTATGATAACTTAGTTATTATATAATTTAGTAAATACGTTTTTAAAATATTATATTTTATTGTTTAATTAATTTTATTATTTTTTTGTTTCCTGATTGGTAATAAATGACTAATTATAAAAGTTTTACCTTCTGTTTAGATTCTTCAGATATATCAGGAATTTCTTCTTCTATGTATTTTGTTAAAGGAATAGTAGGGGATTTTGTAGGTTCGACTGTATTTTCTGTTTTAAGTTGATTCAATTGGTTGGTGAGAGTATTATTTTTTTTTCTGTAGGTATCTTAATCTAATCGGCGACGAGGTTCGCCACCCGTCACGTTCTGTCTCCCGGAGGGGCGAAAAATGGATAAAATTTGGATGCGCAAGCGGGATTTAGAAAGGGAATGTGATGTACAGATCAAGTCTTTTCCATGCGCATGATCGCGGAAAAGTTTTTGGCCAAAAACCAAAAGGTTTTTTGTGCGTTCATGGACTTCGAAAAGGCCTATGATAGAGTAGATAGGAATGTGCTATGGCAAACACTGAACTCATTTAGGTTGAGCGCTGGCTGGATACAGTCATTGGAATCTCTTTATAGGGACTCTAGTGCTTGTGTTAGGATTAACGGGGTCTACTCGGACTGGTTTGGCATCTCTGTCAATCATCATGACTGTGTGGCTTCCCCGTGGTTGTTCAACCTATTTAAGGACAGTTGTTTGCAAAATTTGAAAGTTGAAGAATGCGGATTAAGAATGGGTGAGTTAACCGTCAAATGCCTTTTGTACGCCGATGATCAAGTTATACTTGCATCGTCGGCGGCTGAGTTGCAAATTATGGTTACATTAATGAATAGATCATTAAAAGAAGGGGTATGAAAGTAAACGCAAGTAGGACGAAAGTTATGGTTTTTGAAAGAGAAGAAATGTGAACAATATGTGAAATAAGAACAGAAGGGGAGTTGATCGAGCAAGTAGATGAGATTGTATATTTGGGTTGCGTATTTAGTAGGGATGGGAGATATGATAAGGATATAGAACGACGAGTGAACGCAGGAAATAGAGTAAATGGGGCCCTACACTCTATTGTGAAGAGTCAAAATGTGTCAAAAAAGGCACGTATGGCAAATCACAATGCTGTGTTGGTCCCTACTTTAACGTATGGTAGTGAAAGTTGGGTGTGGCAGAAGAAGCACAAGAGTAGAATAAATGCAGTAGAAATGCGGTCGTTAAGAAGTATGTTAGGGCTGAATCTGAATAATAGGGTGAGAAATTGTGTGATAAGAGAAGATTGTGGTTTAAGAAATGATATTGTGACCAGGATTAAGAAAGGAATGCTTCGGTGGTTTGGTCATGTGGAAAGAATGAATGAGGAAAGAGTGACAAAGAAAATTTATGTTGCAGAAGTGAATGGCAGAGTCGGAAAGGGACGCCCTAGGCGAAAATTTATCGACCAAATTAGCGATTTATTAAAAACGGGCCAAATTAGGAGTACCCTTAACCGACGAGCATGTATGCGTAGGTATATGGATGTGAAGAAGGCGAGAGAGGTGTGTCAGGATCGTGCCAAATGGAAGTCTGTAGTCTCTGCCTACCCCTCTGGGTGACAGGCGTGAGTGTTTTATGTATTATGTATCTTAATATAGTTTTCTTAAGACTGCTATTTGTCACACATAAGTTTTTATTTTTTTCCTTCAAAATCCTGTTTTCACGTAGTAATTTACTACGATTTTTGCGACGTTGCCTATTATCATTATTTGATATGACTAGCTTTTCTACCTGTTCCTCTTTTTTATTGCGTTTAGCATCTCGTCATTGCTTTCTAATCGCCAATTTTTCATCTTCACTCATATTCGCAATTTTTCTTTTTTTAGCCTTTGTTCTCTCAGCATTCTTGTTTTTTTTTTCATTAAATCAATTTTTCTGGATTAGATTGTTTAAGGTTTTCGCGATACCTTCGGCACCTTTCAGCCGGACAGCGGACAAAGGCATCTGAAAAATATTGATTATCAAACAATTGAAAAAAAATACGCAAGCACTTTAGTATGATTTCATAAATTGAGTAGAACGTTGATAGGTACACACCTTTACGATTTCCATTGTGACACGTCACACAATTTCGTGTCATACGTCGCACAACGGATCAAAAATTCTACACAATATAGCCTGAAAAATATCATAATTCATGATATTTACTATATTGATAATTCTAATTGATATATTTTGACAATTAAATACGTAATGGATATGATTTATATCTTAATTCAGGAAAATCATTTAAATTATAATAAAGTAAACTTACAATTTCTTAATGACATGTAGCGAGTTCCGACACGATCGTCCATCTGACGCAAAAACAAAATGGCGGAAGCATCCAGAAGTTAGTCGAATTTCATGGGCCTATGTTGCCACTTTAAATATATTGATATTCCGTGGTAGAATGAAAATAAATCCCAAATTATCGCGTTGCACAACTGAAGTGTCACACTGGATTGAAATTTAGGACATTTTGAAATTAATAAATATATAATCAAAACGCGTTCATAATATAATTAGCTTATTTTATTAAAATTAAACCTTTCATATTCTGCAATCCATAAAATATGCAGACTAAAAAAACAGCGGTTTCTCAAAAATTTCGAATGGTTTTTGAAAACTGTACGTACACGGACATTTACAAATTGTATGGAAGAAAAATATGAACCTTATTAATTTTAATTATAAAATAGGGATACTATAGAATAACATTTAAATAGAAAAAAAAACAAACATGATGAGAAAATAGCAAATTTCCTTGAGTTAGTAATAAAAATAAAGTATTTATTATTTTTAATATTTTATTTCTTCTCTTCAATTTCTCCTACAGCGCATTTTTACATAGTGCGCGAAAAATTTGAGCCTTACCCAATTAAGAAACGTATATAGCGCGCCTCGGTATTATCTTAAAAAGTGGTAATTTTATCTAAGTATACAACATGTAACAAAAACCCTGTGGTTCCCGTTAACTGCGTTATCAGAATCAGTATCCAAGCATATAGAAATAAATTTATTTTTCCAAAAAAAAAACACATTAAAAATTTATTTTAATGGAAAAATAATTAATTTACAAATTATATGTGGTTTTATTTCCTCTGAGCCGTGGTAGCTCAGATGGTTAACGCTCGCTGTAATATGACAGAACGCGAGTAACCCGGGTTCGATCCCCGCCGGCACCACTGAAATTGTTAATTGCAATTTTAAGTGCTGATTTAGCACGTGCTCGGCGGTGAAGGAAAACATCGTGAGGAAACCTGCATGTCTGAGGAATAAGATAAAAAATATTTCTAAGACATGTGAAGTTCGCCAACACGCATTGGACCAACGCGGCGGACACTTCCCCGCCCTAAAACCCTCTCATAAATGAGGGGAGGCCTGTGCTCAGCAGTGGGACGTATATAGGCTGTAACTTTACTTTTTTTACTTTTTATTTCCTCTAATTCACACGAGTCTGGATAATGCGGTGTCTTTGACAATCCTCTTACTCCTCGGCCAATGCAGAGATAATAAAAGCACATACAATTTGCAAATTAATTTTTTTTCATTAAAATTAATTATTTTAAATGTGTCTTTTGAGAAAAAAATTATTTCTATACGCTTGGATACTGATTCTGATACCGCACTTAACGGGAACCACAGGGATTTTGTTACATGTTGTACGCATAATTACATGGTTGGCGTAAAACGATGCTTAAAAATATAATATTTTGCATTTCATGATTTGACAACATTATTCGGCGCAGCATGGCACAAAATGTCACATTGAATAATTTTATGAATTAGTTTCCTCAATACCGTTTTCTTGGAGCTAAATTCTCTCTTCCAGTGATTGGCAATAAAGCTTCCCTTGGCTCAGCGAGCATACAAGGCAACGGTCCATCTTCCATGCTGCCGGCTGTCTCCAGCCAGTTCTTCATTGTGTATCTAACAAAAAACAAATAATCATATTATTAAAAAAATTAATAAATGAAACGCTCTCTTTAAGTAATCGAGGTCTAAAATATCGATTTTTGAGATATCAATCTTTATTCGATTAATTGCTTTCAGATTTTGTACTTACGATATCAAAAGATACAACAAAGTACAGATTACAAACGCAATACTTTTAATATTGTATTTAGATTTATTTATTTATTTGCATAACATAATACAGTTAACAAGATAGAGAAATTATGATGGCCAAATTCATTGTAATGTAATAATTTTACAAATTTTGTGTAAACAGCTTGTTTTATAAGATTATTACATTGAGGTATTACTAGTGTAGTAATGTGGTTCGATAGATTATTAATATGTTACTTATTATACGATGTTGTAAATATAATAAAAGGGCTTAATTTATCAAATTAGTGGCAAAGTGACAACCAGGAAAATTGATGAGTTAAAAGTTAAAGTTACAGCCTATTTACGTCCCACTGTTGGGCACAGGTATCCTCTCATTTCTCAGAGGGTTTTAGGGCAAGGAAGTATCCGCCGCGCTGCTCCAAAGCGTATTGGCGAACTTCACATATCTTCGAAATATTATTTTTTCTTATTGCACACTCACGATGTTTACCTTCACCGGCGAGCACGTGGTAAATTAGCACTTAAAATTGTAATTGACAATTTCATTGGTACCGGCTGGGTTTGAACCCGGATTGCTCGTGTGCTGTCAAAATTTACAGCGAACGCTAACCATCTGAGCTGTCACGGCTTTTGCAATTGATGAGTTGCTAACACAAAAACAATACATAATACATAAACACTCACGCCTGTCACCCAGAGGGGTAGGCAGAGACTACAGATATCCATTTAGCACGATCCTGACATACCTCTCTCGCCTCTTCCACATCCATATACCTATACAAAAACAATAATATTAAACATAACCAATAATAATTGATCAATTTACTTATTGTTTATAAATAGTATGAAATATAATATGAAACGTACTCGAGTACGAAGAGAAAGACTGTCAATGCAACGAAAATGATGATAGTGATAGGAGGAAATAACTCAAAACGGCGTTACAGGTAACAAGGAGAGTTGTCTCTGAGTATACCTGCGAAGGCGAATCGGCAGGCACTTGAGCTTGAGACGTTTACGAATTTCTGAAATGTAATTCTTCTTTCTGAAATTCTCCAGTATAAATTCTGGATAAAACCATAACTTTAATCTTAACCAATTTTCTTATAACTTTATTCCGCATTTAAATATAACACATGTCAATTTTTTTTGATTTATGAAACAAGATAATTTTTGTTACATCAACTGCAACCAGCATTTTTCTTTGTATTTACATTCATCTTAACCCTTTGCAACCGCGACACGTTTTGTTTTGGTACGCGTTGAAATCAAATTTACCGGTCGCAGGGGTAAGCACGACCCGGGATAAATAATACATCACGCGTTCACACCTTGCACTAAGCGAGCTCTTTAGGGGATAATAAATCCGTATTTATTCTTTTTATATCGGTCCTTGCGACCCTCTGGCCTCTGATAATCGAATCATGCTTGCTAACCGTATCGAATCGATTGAGTTCATCTCCTGAGTACTTTTGGATGCATAGTACAATACGTAAATAAAATTTTATATTACATTTGATAGTTGGTTACATGTTTTTTTTACTTTGAATTTGTTCATGTTTGCTGTTCTAATTTATATATTACTAGAAAAAAAGTCTAAAGTTTGATTGAAATCTTAATCACATTCTAAAATATCACTTTGAATTTATAAAGTTTTATACAAATCATAAAACGGTATAAAAAATTATGAGATATAATATTTTAAATCAGAATTACAGCTCTAAGTAAATCGATTTTTATTGGGAATGATATGCTGATAGCTAATTTAAATTAGAAATTTCATTTTATTTTTGGCATAAATCTACTAATACTCTAAGTATAGTATACTAGTATGTCATTGCCATGGCAAAGTCAGAACATATCGGCAGAATTGGCGAGAAATAGTTCGGCTTCCTTCGGGAACACGTGCATTCTGGTTTCTCGCCCAGGCTGTCTAAGGGAATTTTTATCAGCCATCTCTCCCATCTCAGCACAGAGAGGACGACTCACTAGACCATGCCGCAAAGGAGAAAGCCGATCTGCTGGCTCTCTCTATGCGTACAACTCGACTCTTGCTGACGGAGGAAACACACCGCCGACCATCCGGCGGTGTGAGTGCTCCATGCAGGAAGTTCTGCTTACCCAGTGCGCAAAGCATTCCTCTCCCTGGATGTCAACCAGTCAAGTGGGCCTGATGGCGTCCTTCCTATTGTGCTAAAGAGGTGTACTCCTAGTTGGCACCGGTTTTAACGCGTCTTTTCCGGTACTTCTACTCCCTAAGCATAGTCCCGAACTCATGGAAGACAGCTTTGGTGCACCCGATCACTAAAAAAGACGACCGCTCAGATCCGTCCAACTATCGCCATTACCTCCTTGTTCTCTAAAATAATGGAAACCACTATAAACTGCCAGCTTATGAGGTACCTTGAGGATTACCAGCTAATTAGTGACCGCCAGCATGGTTTACGTCACCGGGTAATCTTCTGGCCGTTAGTTTGGACATTGCGAACATGACTGTTAGAACTGAGTTGACTGTTCCATTATTAATACGATTAAAAAAACTCCAATAGCTACAACGACATCCATTCTCCTATTCGAAAGAGCCAACTCTGTGCGGTTAAAAATCTAAGACTGACGTTAGACACCAATATTTGCACTTATTTCTCAACATTCAAATTTTAAGGTGCCAGAAACATGCAAAACAATAGAAGATGTACAACACTTGCTCGCGGAATGTTCCAAAAATCATCATGAAAGGAAACTATTAGTTGCCAAAACTGATATTAAAATTTGTAACCTAGGGGAATATCAAAGCATTTTGTGACCATTATCTGATGCTGCTCAAATTGTATATAACTTAGTTAATTTTTTGTTTAAATAATTTAAGAAATTGTAGTTTGTTATTTAGTTAT